GTACTGATGAGACTAAGGAGGTGGACACTGCAGTCTACAGATTTTCATTGAGTTGTTTAAATGTTTATTAACTTAGGGGGAGATTCTCGAAACTCGATAAGGCCTTGCAAGGATCTGCAAATTCAAAACCGTAGCAACATGTATTGTTGTTGCATTGTATTTGCAGTTTCGATAGCGATTTGCAACTTATCGGAGTTTCCAGAATCTCCCCCTTAAATAATAACAGTCCCGTAAAAAATCTGAATGAAACTACTTACCCTTTTTCTAACTTCTTATTGTTATATTGCTATTTTTTATACTATTATGTATTACTATTACTTTACGTAATTCGACATAGATTTTACGCTATATTTACGTTTAAAAATAATTGTAAGCAATTTTGAAACATTTATATATTAACAAGTTAACAACAATCCAACCTTTGTAGAATTATTATGCAAGTTATTTTCCTCACATGCAGTTTTTTTTTAATTCACAAAAAATGTTTACTTTATGTACAAAAGTATAAGTTTAAGATATATTTATGAAACAAAACTGTGCTTAAAATAACACAAGTAAAAGAAAGTATCTGATTCGAGCAGTTATTGCCTCTTTTAAAACCTGTAGTTGTAAGTGATGTAAACACGGGTTTGCAAGTGCCCCCACAAAACAAATTATTCGGAGCCAAATCGGGGGATCTCACTGGCCAAGGAATCGCACTCCCTCTGCCTATCCAACATCGAAGTAGCTTCCAAAGCTTGGTTGTTATAAAAAAGACAGACTATATCTAGTAGATTACTATGACAGACTCCTATCTAGGATAGCCTGTATATATCTCTAAACATATGGCATAAAAAAACAAAATTCCACACCAAAACAATAAATAATTGCGACACCATAATTTTAAGGTACGTTTAACAGTAATTAACCTTACACGTGTCTGTTTTTGTAAAAAAAAGTGTATACATATGCTTTAATGCTATCGTAAGCAGAGCAATTTGGCAATTAGAATTCATCCCTATGAAAAATTCAATGTCACATAATAGCAAAATTTTGCAAAGTAAATATTACTTGAAATTTATACTGTAACATACTTTTGTGTGTGGTTTCATAACATAACTATATTTTTGACAAATATTTATACAGATGTTTCGAGTGAATTTGTGAATGGAGTAATTAATTTATTTTATTTATTAAATCAAAAACGGTTTGTCTAGTTTTCCTGAAATTCTAACAACACAATACTCTCTTTAAGGTAATGTGTTTTATAATGTAAATGGCGACAGCTGACAATTTTGTTAAGAAAATTTCACTTGAAACATTTAGCGTGGCATGTTTCCTTACTGGGACTTTGAAAGTTCGGCTCTATTTTTATTTTAATCTATAGAGATAGATAGATAAAAAATGGAAGTTAAAAATAGAATTTGCAAAAAAAAATGTGTAATTTATACAAAAAGCGGGAATTGCTGAACTGACTGTGCTTCGGGAGCAGGGAAAAATCTGTTTAAATAAGTTTTTTTCAAATAAAAGCTGATGGAGAAGTCAGCTAGAAGATACTAAAATTTCGAAGAAAGCTGTTGTTTATATTAATGAAAATCTCTATTAGGTGGAATATTGAAGCAAGTGCACTAGTTTTGAGGCACACTTTTTATTAAAGTGGTGAATGACAATGAACTTCACCACAACAGATAACAAAACTGGATTTTATATTCTGGAAAGCAAGAAAATATAAAATTCATTGTACTAGGTAATTGCCTTAAATGCCCAATGTAGCACATATAAAAGCACTTTTATAAAAGGTTTTTAAAAAAACACTGTGTTTTAAATCAATAGTTGCAAAATTGGCCATTATTTAGGAAAAATAACTAGCAACGTGTTAAGACGATGACACTGAACACCGTACAAATACATTCTCTTAGAAAAACTGAACATCTCTTATTAACACAGATGTAATGATGGAATCTGTTCTATCAGATTTTTTACTTTAACATATGCATATCACAATTGCAAAAAAAAAATGATTCAAATTAAAAATGTAAAACAATATAGAATTTCAAATTTGTTCATTCATTAAGGGGAATTTTGAGTTGTAATCGTAAGTACAGCCCAAAAATAAAAATTACATATTAGAGGTAATATGGAAAGGAAAAAGAAAAGAAAAGAAAAAATAACTTCAAAAATGTTTACTAAAGATGTGGCGAAATGATACACCATAAAAATCCAAGTCCATAATGCAATTTGCTGCTCGTACTATTCGTACAACTGGAAATGAAAATCCATAATTGATCCTATAAAGGTGCGTGTAAAACGGTGGGTTGCCTCTGAGAAATAAACCGGGAGCGTTAAGACCAAATAAAATTAATAATTCGCCGCAATCAATAATGCTATTAAATAAGTTATATACAAATATTAAATCAGTTTTTAAGCGCCTACTCTTCAACGTTTCTAGTTTTTGTAATTTCTAAATTCCACGTAAGCATATTGTACCTTGCGAAATCGCAACTTCCAGGCACAAGTTAGTAAAAAAAAATTCCAAACTCTTTCAATATTTTTGATATGTGTTATGTATAAGGGTGACCAAATAATGCAAGCATATTCTGAAATAGATCTACTAATGTGCAATAAACCAATCTATAAGTGTCAAAACCAATAACTGACAGAGATCTATTAATTAAACCTAGCGTTTTAGATGCCTTGCTACTGGTTTGTTGCATATGTTGAATAAAACTGAGTTTCAAACGGATACCACTTTTAGAACTGTATTATCAATAGTATAATTGAAGTTTATGTAGTTCCTTGTTCGAAAAAATAATATGCTGTAATATTTGCCAATGATGACAACGACGATATTATTCTGCATAAGTTCACAGTCTTGTATAGATAATACTGATCTGAAAATTCTTAAATCATCTGCAAACATTAGCAATTTCGAGTGGTGGATTGAAAGGCAGATATCATTAATGAATAGGTTAAAAAGTAGCGCTCCACAATATAAACCTTGCGGTACACCACAAATAACAGTGGTAGGTTTTGAGGTTTTTTGCAAATCTCTGCATCTGTAATAAATTCTATCCACTTAACAAACACATCATCAAATTTCATGATCTTTAATTTGTAAATTAAGATTTTCTGATTAACTGTGTCAAAGGCTTTAGAAAAGTCTTCATAAATAAAATCAACTTGCAGACCGTTTTCTAAAGGGTTCACTATATAATTCTGATAAGCACTAAATTTGTGGTAGTGGATTATCCTGACAAAAGAAGGAATACATTCTGACTGTTGGGTAAAGAATTCACTTGAGCCATATTTAAAAATGAAAAATAATTGTTAGGAACCAACGCCTTAGTGTTATCACCGCAGTCAACCACCATAACATTATCTATTTCCACTTTGCGGTTAGTACATTAAAATCACCACAAACTACCAACATTGAATTTTGATATTCGCTTAAGATCAATAATGGTATCACATTTTTTTTTTATAATCCATTAGACTAGCACTTGGAGATATGATGTAAATTACTCGAAAAAAATTTTTATCATGTTTATTGACTTGCAGGGACATGAATAAAAGATCAAAAATCTCATTGACTGCCTTAACTTTCGAACATTGAATATTTTTATGTACATCGATTAATAATGCCACCACTTAGAAGTTTATTATGCAAAGGTGAATTTCTGTCAACTCTAAAAATTGAATAGTTAAATAGAAGTTAATAAAACCATTAGTTAACCATGTTTCTGCGAATATTATTGCATCATAATCAAAATTAATATTTTTTCTAAGATCCCGTAATTTACTAATTAAACCACCAACATTATGAAAATAGACATTAAGATTATATCTTATATTTAATTTTAACTTTGCTTTAATTTTGTTGCTGGTGCGTATTTAATCATACAATTTTAGGAACTCGTCTAATATATTTATTTAATCGTGATAGTTATTAAATTCCCCTTTGGCTTTGCTATCGTTTAACTCGATCCGTAACTGTCGTAATTTGTCCCGCTGTGAAGACCTTAGATCACTATTTAGTTGTAGTTATATTATTCGGTCAATTACCTTTTTTTTTTTTCTTTAAAGTGTCAATGACATCGTACTTATCCTTACAAATAATTTTTGGAGGTCTAAGTTTAGAAGTATTAACGCTTTTATCCATTCTCACAATTTTATAAATTTCAGTTGCATAATTACATGTGTCCGTAATAAACCAATGTGACTCGTGGTAACTATAGGCCAGATTTTAAATAATAATGACTAGTCCTTACAATAAAAATCGACTAAATGAATTTGGAGCAACGACCACACACCCGCCTCGAAAGCGATTAGTATTACACATTGCTATACATTATATCAACATATTAGAATTTAGTATCGTTTAAAAACAATTCACATAATAAATATAACTTTTTACTAAAAACAATGGCGTTTACAAAATTTTACGATAGCGTTATCATATATTATTATATTCTCAGCAACTTTGAATAAATTAAAATTCTTCATTATATGGCAGGTCCCGTTTTCCTTATTAACATATTTTACACTCATCTTGTTGCCTCTAGTTATATTAGTGAAAATCTCTTGGTATACGAAAAACAGTTACTGCCGGCGCTTAAGAGACCAATATATTTCAACCTGTACCCTTAGAGCCTATTATCTAGCTCCAGCCACACAGGTAAAGGGACATGTTATATTATAGTTGCAATCATAAGTAATGCGACAAGCGGCTAATGCGAAAAAGTCATTAAACAAGCACAAAGTGCAATTTTTGCTGGTTTGTTTGTCAGGCTCTTCCTTCGCCACGTAACACTTGTCGCATTACTCTTAGAGCTTTTATTTTCAGTGTGCATGTAACATGGTATAAGTTTGCTTATTAAGCATAGCATAAGCGCAACAGTGTGAGATTGTAGCGCACTGTGGCCGACGCACAGCACCGCGACAGCAGCGTCTATCTTAGCGGCGCGTTCTTGTTTAAAATCGATGGTAGTTAGAAACGACGCTCAGTTACCGACGCTCGCTCACCGAGTCCGGAACTGTTACTAAATTAACGGTTAACGTCGTGACATGTTACACGTTTATTTTCGATATCGTGAAAAGTAACTTGACAACTTGTCGGTGAAAACAGCCATCGAGGGAAGACAAGGTAAGAAGGACCGACTGGTAGCGTTTATGTAAACATTAAAAACCAACAAAACCTGGGTTAATTAAAAACAACTGCTTGCTCGAAATCGGGCGCGCGAAAGGTCCTTTGTTGTAAAAGAAGGTAATGATAGTTTTAATCGTTTGATGTTCATCAATAAAACATCGCCATCGCATTAAGGAACTCATTAAATTCTTTCCGCGGTCTCAAAAGGACTCACTAACAATGGAAAACGTCGGAAAGCAGAATACGTTATTTACGAGGAAAATTAAATGATTTCCCAGTTTCCCACGTCACGGAACGTACTTTTCCTCACCTGGGAGGATTGTTACGAAAACTTGAAACGTCTTTTTAATCTCGCATGCAAACAAGTTCTCTCGACCAACTTTATAAAGTTGCCTCGGCTGTCTAATACAGCATTAAACATATTTCATAATATTCATTAGATGTGTAAAATAACTGTCACGAGCTTCCTTTAATATTCCTAGACGTTATACGAACGCGAGATCTTTAATTAGCCACGTCGAGAATGCGAACAATACCTTTTGTCAACATTACGTTGACGTTTCTTATGTCTACTTCTCCTGTACTCCATCAGCAACTCAGTTTTTCAAAAACAAACAAAAAAGCATTTATTAATTAAAGTATGAATTACTCTGAGCAGTTTTATTTAACATAAATTTACGTAAAAGTTTGAAAAACAATATTCGCACAATTAACTATATTGAGTTTTACAAAGTACCTTATAATTGACTGAATATAAAAATATATTTTCGAAATTAATTTAAACGTCAAGAAGACATTACAATGTTTTCAAATATACAGCGAACTGTTGCTTGGTAGAAAGTCTAAAATTCCAACTTCTGCGTATCTTTATTTCAACTGTAATTATGGCATCTACATATTCTAAATTAGTTAACTGCAGCATATAACGAGAATTACTAAAAGCATGCTTATCGTCACTTTTAATGGCAACGGGTGATTTATTTCAACGGAAAGGTTGTAATATACAGACTTTCCGTTAGAAAAATTCTGGCGTTAGAACTCTACCTAACAAAAAAATCATCTAAAGTTTTTTAGAGAGAACTTCCCTCGTCCCTCAAGCACAATCAAGCCATTCCAGTTTTTTATCAAATTTGTAAAACTTGATATTTTTAAAATTTTGTTTTTTTTTAATAACAATCCTTACAAGCTAGACTAAAATAGATGTGGATTATTAATCTACAGATAAAGGAACATGTGTTAGGTACATTTCGTCTTTTTAATAGGGACAAACTAATAACATTTCATAACAACGGTATTGTCTTGCCATAATTACAAGAAAATGAAATGAGCCCTTTTTGATTAAATTAATGAAACTAATTTCTTCATTCATTATTTTATTTTCGCACTTCCTTTACATACAACAAGACTAGACCCATAACATTTTGCAAATTTTACGTAGGAGATACGTAGGGAAATTTTCAGATGACGTCATCAAGTTTTTGTTGGGGATAAACCAACACATTATAATTAACCACCTATCAAATAAAATACATTTCCCTGAAACATTTAGAAGTTAAATTTTATATTTATATTGTAAAATTGTGAATGTTTTCCCAAAAATAAAAGCAAATAATTTTGAGAACAAATTGTTGGTGAAGATGACCACGCAAATTTTGGTTAGAATTTTACCATCAACATGATAATCGTAAAATCAACTTAAATTTTCATAACAGTAGTACAACAGCTTCGGATATTATTTGTCTAATCAAATTGCTAACAGACGACATAGACACGAACAGGGGAGACCTAATTTTTCATACTCTATAAGCTATGAAACATCGAGAAAAGGTGAAATTAACTGTTCGTCAAATGGACAATACTTCCTAGCTTATGCTTCGAAAGTATGAGCAAAAATATACACATGTATGATGCTTAAAGTTCTTCAATAGTGTTATTAAAAAAATTCAAGAAAAAAAAAACACTATTATTATTTGGAAATCAAGTGATTGAGACGACATCTTTCTGATATACTTTGTATGTTTTTTCATACTATACTTTAACAGACTTCATGAAGCTCTTCTAAAATAAATTTATAATATAAAAACTATTTTTTACGGTAAACATATGGGGTATATACTCGGTTTTCAAAAGGTAACAAAACAATATTTGCAAGATCCATAAGAACTACTACTTGGAAATATTTGTCATTGAATTTTGACTATTTTATAAGGTAAAGACATTTTTTTTTATTTTATAAGTTCGATTGGCATATTTCACAGGAACCGACTACATTTTCTTTAATTTTTACTTTAAATGTTCATTGATGCAAAAATGTGGACAAGAGTTAGTTCCGGGGACTTGAATTATCCTAATTGCACCAAAATAAAGTGCAAATCAATATCTACAGAACATTTTATAATAGTTTTTAATTCCTGAGTGTAAGCTAGGACAATATTCTATTATTAAATTTGCCAAACAGCTAATTTTAGGTAAGTCTTCTCTACTTTTCGTAGCTTTAGACACATAGTTAGTTTCCAAAACTACTCGCCTATTTCTGTGGCATTTCGGATGTATTTTAAAGCAATGCTATTGTGTAGATATTTAAATTCTAATCGAAATTTGTTTGTTTGTTTGTCTCCACCAATAATGTGGTGACACAGTTTTAGTAAATAATATGCTGCTGTAGTTGTGGTTTATTAATTCGCCTTTAGTTTTTAATTTCGACATCTAAATTGTTCAAAAAATTTTGAATTTTCATGTGAATACTTATTTAAAAAAACACTTTAAGCTTATCGTTAATCAATCTGTCCCCTCCACAAACTTGATGATGTGTTTTCTTACTAGAAATATCTGATCTAAAATGTGCAAAATATTATATGTCTAAATGTCAATGGTTGCGATTTATCACTGTTTTTTGGATTTTTGGAGAAAAAAAAATGTTTTTACAATTTAACTTAAAAACTATAAAATGTCACATATACTTTTAGACTATCAGACTATTAGCTCGGTAACCAGAATTAGTCTATTCATAGCCACCAAAATTTTTTTGACATTACCTCAAAAGTTTGCTAAATAATTTTTGTTTAATATGTGTAAAAGCACGTGCCTTCATACGTGGTTTATTAATTCACCCATACTTCTTTTTAAAAAGGAAGAATGTTTAATCAAACAATAATTTTACAGACAGGTTTCACCAAACAATACCTGTGCAATCTATTAATATTTGATTTTCGCAATTCTACATGTATCTATCAAACATCTGTACGTTTTGTAAAGAAATATTTAATTTTATCTTTTATGATGCGAAATCTCAAATATCGTATGTGACTTAAACAAATTTCAGTCGGCAAATTTCAGTTGATATGAACTGAAATAAAATGTAATGCACTTGTAACAATAGAATCTTTGTAGATAATTCCGACGGAAGTTATGCGAGATAAAGTTCCAAAATAACTTGTATTTGTACGCTGACCCTTCGAACTAATGTGTTTCATATTGAATATTAATTAGTGTTGTTCTGTTATTCTAAATATATACGCATATAAAGATATTAATCTAAATTTGATACAATAAATGTTGGACCTATGAAAACAGAAGCAACTATCTTAACTTTGTCGGAGTTTCGAATAACTGCAGACAAATATTTATGTAAAATTTAGACATAACAACTGTTAATGTTTAAATTTTAAGCACAAATTTATACGTACTCTACATAGATAAACATAAAAAATCCTAGATGTTTTGTTGAACTCGTTCGGTTGAAGTGCTCCTCCCTCCACTCGTCGTGCCGCAAACGTGTGACGGTATACGAGGCGATATCGAGAGTTTTTAGCCTTACATAGAAAATATTATTGTATTAAAAATATATATATTTATTCAACCTAGTAACTTTTATTTGACACACTTAGCTTAGATTTATGAAATAGCTAAGCCTTTAAAATTTGTTTTAGTCTACAAACATTTCTTCCATTTATGTTCAAATACTTTCATAAAATTTAAACGAATGAGGTTGTATATTTGACACAATTGTGCTGTACTAGAAAACACGATGCTAATTTTATAAAACAAATAGTTGTTAGGAGTACTAATACCTTTTATTATTAAACTGCAATATTTTAGATTCAGTTCAGTAAGTTCATTAGCACAAAGTTCGAAAAGAAGTATGAAAATAGTTTAAAATTTAAATTAGAATAATTAAAATATTTGCAAGTTATCAAATAAGAAATGCACTTTCTGAAAACAGTCCAAAAGAATTTAGTTGGCATATTTGTTTTTTAAGTTGCAAAAATTCCTTGTTACTTGAGATACGCCGTTTAAGTGATTAGATCTAACTGTTACTCAAACTATTTACTACAAGACTGTACGTTTCTGTAATTTCGGTAATTGCAGGATTGTCAGTTTTTCTAAAGTTTCATTAAAGAAATAAACTAAATGTTTTTTAGTGTTTTTCGATCAACGAGTACGTAAAATGCGTGGTTACATAAAACCCGGAAAAGCCCGTTCATACATATCTTTTAGTGAAACCCAACTGAAAGCTTCATTCGACCGTCTTTGAGGTAAACATTTTTAGTAGTTTTCTTTTAGAATACTTTTAAAAGCTTATTGACTTTCAGAAAACAATAAACAGATCATTATACTTTATTCTGCTGTACCTTATCTGGAACTGTGTTTGCAATTACTTAACAGTGAAACGTACAAAGACAGCAACAATAAAAAACCAAAAGAAAATATAGAATCAGGAAAATCGACAAATCCAGGAACAAGAAAATTGACAAATCAATGTGAATTTGTTGTTATTTACTCTGTCTGTGCAGTGGTATAGGAAACACTACACACTTCTGATTTGATTGGAAGCTCCGCTTTTGTTGGCTCATTAGGTCGTTGTTCTTCCAAATTTCTAAAGGTTTACTAAACCAACATGAAAAATAGATTGTTTTGTAAAAGCATGCATAAGATCGACCTGGGGCTTCAAAATATTTGTAATTAACTGTGGTATTTACATACGGCTTACTGTTCTA